TGTAAAAGATATGCAAAAAAGAAGGCAAGTGTTTGATATTTTATGGCAAATAATTCTTATATGGTATCAAACGTATTGACTTCGTAACAAAGAAAAGCCATTCTTTGTTTTCTTTTTGACAAATCTACGTAGTATTCGTGATTTCCACTTTTGCACACTACACGCACGTACGTTATCAGTTTGTTCCTTTCACCGCTCTTCTTTCCTTTTATATCGCCTTTTTTCACTACTTACTGCAACGTAGGCTAACAATGCCTTTTTATGATTAAGCTTTGAGAGTTCAGTCAAAATGTTACCTTTCTATAAACCGTCTCCCTCTCTTTCAATATATCTACTCTTTTCTTTTCTAGCAAAAAGGCTTACCTAGCTAGGATATTAAGAAAAAGTGTCAATGAATGTGTGTGCAACTGAGCGAAGTTCTCATATGTTTATGATTTTATTTCATCTTCGATAGCCTGTATGTAGCAAAAACTGCATGCGAATAAAACTGGTTTTATTATTTGTTGTCATTTTTTGTGAGCCCCGAACAAAACATATCATCATTAGTTCTTCCATTGCAAAAAAGGAACACAGAAAACAGAAAAATTCATAATAAAAAAAAATGGTGTCATTGCATTGCATTGGCTGTATAAAATGATCCTAAAACTATAACTGAATCAGTTAAACTGATAACAAAATTTCCGTGGATTTTTCTATATTGTAATCATCATAAGAACAAACAAAGAGTGTACTGAGTTGTGTGAGTTTGAAAACAAAAATAGAAACGATATGATCGCTGCAGACTCTGCAGTGCAGAATATGAAAACGGAGTTCGCTGGTATGCATGATGTAAGATGATTTTATGGAAATATATAAATAGTTATTGTTCAGAGTCATACATTTCAATCAATTGGTTTAGCTAAATGAATCATCGTTTTCGAGATTTTTAATAGTTTTGTGGGTAAAACCCTCTCGATGAAGTAAAAATAGAGAAAGATCTCTTGGAATTTATTACTAGATCAATCATAATAAGGCAAAATATATTGAATTCAGACTATGACTCAGACAACGCTACGACTGTCTTCATTAATGAGGCGACGCTAGTCATTAAACAACAAATCAGAATCTATACAATACATACATTACAGAAGAATACTCACTCTTCCTACTGTTGTGACCGATTGTGTGCTGTGGCTGAATGTCATTGCATCATCGCTATGGCGAGCGTATAATTATCAACAACATACCGTTACATTTTGGTTCTCTCTAATAAGAATTCGAATACTTTATTTACACATAAAGCAATTTGCTCAAAAGATGCAAATATCACTACGGTGTCTGTGTGGAATATTGTGTTTTCATTTTTGAACAATCTGTTAGGTTTAAGTTTCTTACGCATCAAATTTAAATTACGTTTTAAGGTTGAGTTCCACGATTGACCAAAGTGAAGTTTTGATAGTGTTGGTTTGTAGTTGATATTGGCATAGAATTGCATTCGAACCTCAGATGGTCATAAAGCCATTCTCTTTCTTCAATTTCCTCAATAACAACGGCTATAATGATGATGATGTTTAGAACACACACACCGATCGGAACCGCATGCAAAACAACGGAAGAAAAACTTGACACAGATATCTCTGGAGCAATTGTGGGTTCGGGTTGAGATCAGTGGCGTATCCGGGGGGGGGGGTTGGGGGGTTCAAACCCCCCCGAAATGAAATGGAGTTGATTTTTTTTTTCAAATGATTAATACAAAATCGGATTTCGTCTGAATAAGATATGACTCGATTATAACGTGGGTGACTCACCCACTGGGTGAGTGTTAATCAATTCATTTATTTTCCATTTCTTCTGTTGTGAAGCATGTTCGAATGATTTGAATAAACCAGCAAATGCAGCCAAAATCAATGTGTTTTTCGATGGTCATCAATATTACATTACCTTCTTTGAATTCAAACTTATCTGTGGTTTAATGGCATTCGGCATAACAACACTTCTACAAATGTGTCATACGTTGCTATAAGTAGACTGATTTAAGCAGTAGAAGCAAATTGATTTCAATAAGCCTTTGTTTATTATATTTTATGATTTGTTTACCGTCGCCGAAAAAATGGCTAGCGAAATCGGTGTAAACATCACAATACCGAGAGTGATAAGCCAGCAATGCAATCGAGATAACTATGCGTGCACTTCTGCCGAAGAGTATTATAGATTAACCATTTTTATACCTCTCCTTGATCATGTCATATGCAACAACGGTTCGTAAAACATAGAGATATTTTGAATAAAATACAGAATATTTTGCCCAATTTTATTACTTGTTTGACAGAAAAAGAAATAAATCAAACCGTTGAAATGATATTCAAGCAATGGCCAAACATTGAATATGAAAACGAAAATATTGTGAAGAAAGAAGCTCTGTTGAGGCAACAGAAATGTGTTTCAACAGAAGAAAGACCGAAAAATTTCATTTCGTCACTAAACGTGTGCAATAATCTAATATTTCCAAACATATATAATATGTTGAAAACTTTGGCCACGATACCTACACACTAGAAAATATCTGTAAGAATTTGCACGATAATAACAATCAAAATGGGATTTATATGACGTACCCGTGTGAAAAAATAGTAACTGAGCAGTCAGTTAACTAATTTGGGACAAAAATGACTTACTTTGATTGACATTTCAGTACAAAGTGTAGTGTAAGTCTATCATAGTTAACTGAAATCATTTGAAGTTACAAGTCAATCTAAGTTGCTTCATTTGGGACCAAGTGATTTTCTTAGAACAAAAATATAAATTCAATCAACTAAAGTCAACTGAAGTTATAGTCAGTCAGTCATTTCTTTTTCACACGGGGTATCGCGTAAAACATTAAAATATCGTGTAATTTTTAATGTTTCAAAGTTGACGCAAACATTTGACAGATGCGTATATCGGGTAATAGTATTGACCAATTCACTGATTTATTTGAAATTACATGATATTTTATCGTTTTTACACGATTTGTCATATAAATCCATGTTTGTTTGGTATCATCGTGTAGATTCTTACAGATATTTTTTTAGTGTGTATTACCATTGCCACACCAGAGCGATCATTCTCTACGCTTAAGCGTATTAAAAAATTAAATTTTGATTCCGATACTTCATTTTTCTGTTGTATATGCTTTTTTTTCTTTTTCTGAAAATTTCCTTAAAAAACTATAATTGAAAAACCCCCCCCCGAAATTCAACTCTGGATACGCCACTGCATTAGGTAGTTTTCGCTCAAATTAATCTGTTCCAAAAACTTCTGTAGAGAAATTTAATTTTGTCAACTTGTTGTTGGGAACATCAATATATTCCAAATCATTTATAAAAATTTCAAAGGAAAAAAGAAACGATAAATTGGTGCGTCGTAGCGTAAGAGAACTAAAGATTCAAATTTAGTTTCATTCAATTTTCGCACATAACTTCCAGAAAGATCCAGATATTCTAGATCTGCTCCCAAATATTGTATGATTTCAGCTGTAATTTCAAATTCATTATCGGCTGCGTCAAATGAATCTAGCTTATTTAACGTGTTCGACAGTAGAGTGGCATTCAATCGCTTCAATTTGTTTCGTGAAATGTCTAAAGAAGAAACGTTGAGTGGGACATCAAAATATTCCAAATGTGAGTCTGACAAATTTAAATAAAAGAAACGCTTTAAATGTTCAAATATGCTGATGTTCAGTCTTCCGATGAAATTCTGAGAAAGGTCTAAGCTATGGAGATTGTCAAGATGCTCGAAAGGGGTTCGATTCAGCAGCGAATGAGAGGTTGGTTTCACTTAGATTCAATTCTTTCAAGTTGTTCAAACCATGAAACGCCGTCTCATTTAACTTCCCCAATATGTTTCCACTCCAGGCGCTCAATCGAGAAGAAGAGCGCTTAAATTTTTGAAGTCCATCTTAGGATATCGGAGCTCATTATAACTTATATTGAGTCTTCTAAGTCGAAAAGCCCACAAAATAAATCCGAAACTATTTCTACGATTTGATTATGCGAAATGTTTATTGTTGATAGGTTGAGCACTTTTGAAAATGCCAATTTGTGCATTTTTTTTATTTGAAACTAAGAAGCATTCTCATTTATTGTTGCCTTTTGTATGTTTCAATTGCATTAAGTAAGAAATGTTTTCATTTATCAATTCCAAGAGAAACTGTTGCTTGATAAATCTAAAAATGTAACAAGTTATAAACTTAACGAATATTTACATTTCTTTTTTATATATATCTTTTCGTCATAAAGGACCTTCAGATAAATATATTCGTATTGCTCAATTTCATGCTACAAAATATTGCTAATAACAAAGATTGACGTTGCCGTTTTTGGAATCTGGGAATTTCCGTCTATTTCGTTCACTCAATAGTTTACTTCAAGAATTTCTTTGTTCAGTTGTACAGTATCAAAAATAGAAATGATTTCATTTTAGTTATCAACAACAAACAATTTTAAAATGAAATTGGAAATCATTTCCAAGTAATCTCTTTACCCACGATTAAGTTTACTCATAACGTTCGTCACTATTTATTTACTTATTTGAAAAAAACACTTGCAATTCACTTTATTTTAATTTTTATTCATAATCTTTATGATATAGAAAAAAAATCAGAAAAAGTAAGTAATTATATTTTATAAAATTAACTTTTCTGGATAATTTGTCGTACATTTGATAACACGTACATAACTATTCAAACAATATTCGACTAATAGAACAAAACTAATCACATTATCCACGCAAATGTGCTGTATGTTTTGCTGGAAAATATCACTAGTCTTTTGTCTACATGATTTTGGTGAAATTTGGTTCAACAAACACAAAAACTGTGGTTCAGCAAATTTCCGTCTATAATTATTTAAAATACCTTAAATCATATCCAATTTGTCGCATAACATGCAAATTATGTTTTGAGGTTGATTTCCGCGATCTCGATTGATTAAAGCGAACTTGTAATAGTATTGGTTTGCAGTTGATATTGACATGGGATCGAACTAGAACCTCAGGCGGTCATAAGGGCATTCTCGTTCCTCAATTTCCTCGTAAATGTGATCTTCCGGGGTTGACTCTTTTTTTGACTCTGGTTGTGGTACTGTTTGTAGCTCTTCGCCATTGTCATTTCGGCGGTAAGAAACTTCCATTTGTTCGCTGTTTTTCGAAGAGAATTTCCGACGAAGGAAGACAACAACGGCTATGATATTGATGATTAGAGCAGACACACCGATCGGAACGGCATAGAAAATAACGAAAGAAGAGCTTGGCACTGATGTGTTTGTGGCGATTGTGGATTCGTTTTGGGCCTCTTTATCACTTTCAATGTGAACAGTGGATATCAGTTCAGTGCTTTCTGTGATATTTTCCACTGAACTATTTTCCACGCTGGTGTCAGTTGGGTTTTGAGTTTCATTGTTTCCAAATTGACCACACCGATCTCCAATTATCTCTAGGCTTTCCCATTCCTTTCTGAACATGGATAGGTAGTTGCAATTAAATTTATTATTTGTGATATCCAATTTAGTTAGTTTTGGATATGAATTCTTAGTAAAACCATCCAGTTGCGTGAGGTTGTTTTCGTCCAAGGTAATTTCTTCTAAATAATCGAAAACTAACGAAGTAGAGAAATTCAATTTTGTCAAGTTGTTGTTCGAAATATCAAGGTATTTCAAACTCCACTGCAAAGTTTTAAAGGGTTTAACATCAAAAATCGATAGATTTGTGCGTTTTAGCATAAGCGATATGAGTGATGGTAAATGTTTAAATGTGCTGGGATTCAATGTTCCGATGAAACTCTGGGAAAGGTCCAATTCATACAGTTTTGATCCGAGACAGTGTATGATTTCTAGGCAATTATCAAAATGATTTCCAGCTGCTCGGAACTGCAACAAATTACTTAACGTTTTTGAGAATAGACGTATATTCAGTGTACTTAAATTGTTGAAGGAAATATCGAGATGCTCTAGATTATTAAGATGCTTGAAGGGGTTAGATTCAGCGAATGAGAGTCTTGTTTCACTTAGATTCAATCTTTCCAAGTTGTTCAAACCGCGAAACGCCGTCCCATGTACCTTCCCCAATATGTTTCCACTTAAATCCAGGTGATGAATCGATTCTCCCAACATATTTACTATGTCAAGCGCATTGTGCAATCGATTTTCGCGGATAGAAAGTATTTTCAAATTTTTGAAGCCCATCTTAGAATATCGGAGCTCATTTCTATTTTTTGCATTTGCGAAAATTATTTCTCTTTCATTCATTGTCCATTCAATAGGGTTCGCACAAGATAAATCCAAATAATCTACATATGTGGAAGACACGTTTATTGAAGTCACACCATTCAATAAGTGTGTAATACGGTAACCCAACTCTTCGATAGGATTATCTTTGAGGTTTAGTGTTTTTAATTTGGAATTCTGTATAAAAGCGTCTTTTGGAATTAAACTAATTTTATTATCACTTAGATCGAGTTTTTCTAAATTGGCAAGTAACACTAAATAAAGCTGAATCTATGTGTTGGATTCGATTGTGCGAAAAGTCCACTTCCGTTAGTTGTTTTGTGTTATTAAAAATACGTCCATCCAATTCCGTTAAATTATTGTTAGACACATTGAACCGCTTCAAATATTCGAAATTCAAATGTAAGTATTTCAATGTCGTATAGTTCGAAAACGAAATGTCCAACGTGTGCACATTTGTATAACCAACAAATTCGGACTGGATCAATTCGGGAGAGCACTTACGAATTTTCAGCACTTCCACTTTTAAATAATCACAATCAGAATCATGACGATTAGATGGTTCATTGCAAACGACATATCGTGATTCATTGCTATTGATATTAATATCACCGGAAATCCACAAACAGTCTGACTTAGTATGGACTACTTTAATCGAAATCAAAACCAACACGCAAGCTATAACAAACTGCATTTTGTCGAACAGAAACAGTATACGAAATGCAACGTTCTCGGACCAAATATAAAATTGAAACTAAGCAGGAATTTCATTTATTGTTCCCTTTTGTATTTTTGAATTGCATTGAGTAAGCAAGCCTCGGCAAAACTTTCGTTTATCAATCCCAAGAGAAACTGTTGATTGATAAAATAAAATGTAACAAGTTAAAAACTCAGTGAATAATTTAGATTCTCTTGATAATCACTTTCCCCAAAAAGGAGTCGTATATTCGAAATGCTCAATTTCTGATATAATTTGATGTTGCTGTTTTGGAATCTAAAGAATTTCCGTTATAGAATTTTCTGGTTCAGTTCTACAGCATCAAAATAAGAAATGATTTCATTTTGGTTATCAAACAACGAACAATTTCGAAATAATCCATGATTGAGTTTACTCATAATGTGCACCACTACTTATTTAAAACAAATACTTTCAATTTATTTATTTTGTCATTGTTTTTATACAGAATTTTGATTATACAGTAGAAAATCAGAAGAAGTGAGATATATTTTTTTATAAATTAACTTTTCTGGTTGATTTGTAATTGTGCTAAAATTGTACTAGAATCTATGAAAATAAAATTGTTCGTACATTTGAAAAATGTACACAATTATTCAAAACAATACTTATCGAACAAAAATAATCACATTATTCACGCAGTTATGCTGCATTTGCTGCAGAAAAATATCTAGCACTAGTCCTTTGTTTACATGATTCTGGTGAAACTTGGTTCAACATTAAAACACAAAACTGAATCACATTTCCATCCAAAATTATTTAACATATTCAAAGTCATATTCTATTGGCCGCATAAATTTCGATAGAAATGGAAAAAATTGTACAATTTCAGAGGATACTTGACTTTTCTGAATGTTTACTTTAATACAATTTCTTAATATTTTCAACGTGTTCCTACTCTATTTTGTAATCAATGTAACCAATACTCTGCGTTTTGCTCTGAAGAAATCAATGAATTTAAAAAAAGGCATTGAAATGAATGCATACAATCATGGTGTTTTATGACTTCTTCCTCTATGTAATAACCAATCCAAAAAGTTCATCAAAATGGGCCATTTAAAAGGAGAAAATCAGATTAGAGAAAAAAAAAGAAAATTCGATGAAAAAAATCATTGCAAACGTCTGAAAAGAAAATAATCTTCTTTGAAAAATAAAACACAGTAAATTCGTCCACTTGCTTATGCACCCAATTTTTGAAAAACGTTCATTTTGAAATAATGATATAATTAATCTAAGTTAGCAATTTCTCCCCCTCCCTTTCTTTCTCGTACGATCCAATTGCAAAGAACGATTAAAAGCGCGCATTCAATTCGGTCAATCTACTTGAATGGGCAGGTGTTTTTTTTCTTTTTTGGGCGTCAATTTGACATAGACCCTACTTCGATGATGTTAATAATTTTCTCAAAAATTTCCGCCGCCGTGACTGTTATCATCACAAAATCATAATGTCGAAATGATGAATTGGCGTCTGAATGATGTGATTGACTCGATTGTTGACAGTAGCACATTGGGTGCAGATTTAAATATTTAACTTTATAATGTATGATCTTGTGCTCTGATCAGAAATAACATAAAAAAGTTTCGAATAAATTATACAAAAATAACACACATTTTTTCGCTGTACAGAGCCTCGTACAAATTATTACTCATCTTGATTATCGCTAAGGGGACTTTTTATTACTTATTTTTCTGCACAGTTTAACTGATAAGGATAATCTTAAGACATCTCCTTTAATCTCATGTGAAACTATGATCATTACCCAGCGACCGAGAATGAAATCGCTCGCTAATAGCAGTGTCTGAATCACAGTCTGAAATAATCTTGCAACAAGTTTTTGTAGGCGTAGGCTACGGGATCGTCCCTCTATTTTTACTTCGTCACTGATAAAGCTCAATAATCTCGAGAATGATGATTCATTTTGCTAAACTAATAGATTAACCAAGTGTATACCATTTCATCAACAATGAAGCTACTCATTACACACAGTATTGAGCTGTGTGTAAATGCAAAAAAGTCCGGTTAAAAACCGGAGGGAAAGCACGTACATATCATGTTCAAGATGATTGAAAGATTTATCAATTATCATGTGAATGCTATTACTCATCTTCAGAGCAAGAGATTCGTTTTATTTTAATCCACTATCTGTTTTTTTTCTTCATCAACTCTCTCCCGTGAACAAACAGGTAATGTTGATTGACATTCTGCTGATAAAGAGGAAGATCTGCTCCTATATAAATGGATCGTTTCTCTGGACGAGGCATCAGTCGACATCAGTAAGTGTCATACGAAATCGGTTAGAAAATTCCTTAATTAATTGATCAAGGAGAAACTAAATCAAAAACATTCCAAGTGAAAATGGTTCCGAAAGCAGTCACTTTGCTTTGTTGTTTGGTTGTACTGAGCAGTGCCAAACCTGGCGGTTTCATTACGGGCTCTAGAGGTGGTGACAATGGAGCCAATTTTCTTTCGCTCGGGGGAAATAAAGATGTATGGAAAAGCGATGACGGCCGTTCATCAGTCAACGCAAATACTCATTTCTCTCGTGATTTTGAAAATAATTTGAATACGGTTGGAGGTGGCGCGACATATACAAATCCAGAAGGAAGTCTCTCAGTTTACACCGATCATTCGAGAGGCTGGGATCGTGATCTTGGATACAATGTTGGAGTCGATGCCAGAAAAAACTTATATACGAACGATAGAAATGGTGCAACAGTGGACGCAGTTGGTAAATACAATGAACACCATGGAGGACCATCCGGATTTAACAACAACTGGTATGGCGGCGTTGAAGTGCGCGTGCCATTCCCTGGTTAATTCAAAAGAAAAGAAATTTGTTGCAAAATCGTAGAAATCAATTACGTCAATATCTGCAAAATGAAAAAAAGGAGAATTTAACTTTGATTTTTTCCGCTCACTCTGTGGCAGCATATCATATTATATGGTTGAAAATACAATAACAATAAAGACAGATCTTTCATGCAGAACACACATGTATTCTTTCTCTCTTGTACGCACACCTCTCTATAGCACAGGTTGCCTCATGGCACTGCTGACAAGTTGTCAGTGAAAACTAGAAAAATACTGCAAAAAATCAGATAAGTTATCAATACCAGATGATATATGAACCATTGCGGCAAATAAATTCCCTCAGAATATTTCAGTTTTAAAGTGCAACATAAAGTTTTTTTCATATGGAGTTGTTGTTGTAAACTCTATATAAAAAAATTCTATGTTGCACTTTGAAACTAAAATATTCTGAGGGAATTTGTTTGCCGCAATGGTTCATATGCAATTTGAAGAAATTATCTTATTAAAGTGATATTTTTGCGAAAAAGTTTCGAGTGATAATAAATTGTAGAAAAGTGGCATCACAATTTTGGGTAAAGTAAATCGTTGATTTCAGACATTTGTTATTGTTTTTGCTATAAATTTATAAAAAATCAGGTAGCAAGCAATCTTTCATATGGAACCATGATTTTTTTTATCCAAAAACTAACCTTTGCCTGATGTCAAAATAGAATTTAAAAATCGTTAAATAAATATCACAGTAAACGCAAGACACATTTTTTCGATAGTACCGATTGAATGTCAGTGACAACTATTCATTATGTTCAATTCTATTCTTCAAATTCCTTCGTGATATCTTTATATTTCAAGCGATTGTGTATTTTTCAAGCTATTTCAACCCCTTGAAATACCCCCGTAAGAGGTTTTTTTTTCTTCAAGAGTTATCACTTTTTTCATCTTCAACTGAATTTTAAAGTTATTTCAGTCTTATTCATTCGTTGTAAGTGACGGTTTTCAGAAAAGATGGATTCATTTAAGAATGAAATGAATTTTTTGCTATCGGATTTCTTATTCAAGACAAATGATGTAATGTTGTTGCTATAATTATTGATAAATCAAATATTTATGATAACTCATTCCGTATAAGATGCGAGAAGATGATGAACTTTAATTGAATGCAGCGTTAGTGATGAAAATGATGACCATTTCGAGAAAGATGGCTCCAATTATCGTGGCGGTGTCGTATGCTAGCAATCCAAAACTCTCCGTATTTGTATTTTTTCTAATCCATTCGCGGTATTTGTATGTTTTGAAGAAATATTCGCCTAGAAATAGGTATGAAGTGAGAAATAATTTGCG